TATTGAAAAACTGTTAATAAAAAAATAGGAGACCTGATTCCTACTCACAGAAAAACAAAAACAAACAAAAAAACACATTTCTGTGAGTCAGGAGTCTGGGAATGGCTTAGCTAGGTCCTCTGCTTCAGGGTCTCTTAGGAGGTGTCATCGAGGTGTCAGCCAGGAGTGGGGTCTCATCTGAAGGCTCGAGTGTGGACAGATAAGCTTCTAAGCAGTTGTTGGCAGAATTTCAGTTCCTCAAGGATATTGGACTAAGGGTCTCTGTTCTTCTCTGGCTGAAGGTCACCCTCTCTGGCTGGAGTTGCTGTGGGATGGTCCTCCCCAACATGGCAACTTGCTTCAGCAAAGCCAGCAAGAGAGTCAGTCAAGGGAGTCTGCTAGCAAGACAGAAGTCACAGTCCTCTGTCACTTGCTCAAAGTGACCTCCTGTCACCTTCACCACATTCTGTTGGTTAAAAGCAAGTCACAGGTCCCACCCATGCTCACAGGGAGGGGATTACACAGGGGATCACAGGAGTCACATCAGAACTGCCTACTACAGACAGGTATTATTTTAGGAAGAGAGTATAATGGCTAAGGGGGGGGGTGTTGTCTGTGTCACTTAGAACTGACTTCAAAGCTCAGATCTGCCACTTACTAACTGTGTAACCCAAGGCCTTGGCCTCTCTGAGCCCCCTTTCCCCACCTGGATCCCCATAGGATCATTGGGATCTTAAATGAGAGCTCATATGTGAAGCCTGGCAGATGGCAAATACTCAGTAAATATTAGTTGGCTTTAAACTAAATACCAGCTAAGTATTAACTGGCTTTTCTTTCCATCCCCCCCCTTTTTTTTTCTTTTTCTTTAAATACCATTCGATTTTTGAATTTTAGAAGAATAAAATAGAACTCTCCAGTGGCCAAGGACTTGGTTATTCACATGGAAATCCCAGTACTGTGGGTAGTTTTCTGGACTCAAAGCTGTGCCAAGCTGACCTCCAGGTCCCCAGGCCTCAGGATCGCAGGTCTTTGACCTCAGAAGGGCTGTGGCTCTTCCCATAGTGCCCACCCTCAGCATGGGGTCTGTGGGTCTCCCTTCCTGGGTCACTGTGCTGTCTCCACGCTGGAGCAGCCACTTCCCCTTCAGAGGCGTGACCACGGGACCAGGGCTGCAGCCACTGAGGGTATGGCCAGCTGAGCCAACCGTGTCTCCCAACATCCTTGCATTTCTGGTTGGGGTCCCGCCATGGCGTCACTCCATCCACAGAGCTGAGCGGACAGATTTGGAGATGGGGTCCTTCTTGTCTGCATGCTCACCTTGACCTGAATCATGCCAAGCAGATGACTTGTGGCTTTGGCTTATCCGTGGTCAGAAATCTCTACCAGCTTCTCTTGTCTCCCTGTCCCTCCCCCAGCATCCCTCTCCACCTTGCTTTCCTTACTCCCTCGCTCCTGTAGGCCTCAGGCACACAGAGCACTTTCAGAAGGTCGCTGCTTGACCACCACAGGCTGCTGTCTGTCCTGACCAGAGCACCTCTGCCTCTCCATGCCCCTCCCCCCAGCCTTTGCACCCAAAGATCCTGTTCTCTGTCCCTCTGTTGTCCCCTTCACGCTGTGGAAGGATGTCTTGGAGTCGTTTCCGTCATTCTGGAGGAGAGATGACAGCTGTAGGGGTGACTTCTTCCATTATTTCTAGAGTGTCTGATAATGTCTAATGTGATTATCTCCCCAGCTTCCTAGAGGATAAAAATCACCTGTAGCTCTTGTTAAAAATAGAGCTACCCAGGCCCCATCCCTGGACAGCCAGGTTCCTGCCGGGATAGATTGGGGCCCAGGAATTTGTATTTTTACTAAATGCCCCAGCTAATTCCTCTCAGAGGTTTAGGAAACACTGGTCTAAAGGTCCTAAAACCTAGACCCAGTCCCTCTTCCCCGGTGTGGAGGACACAAGGGAAGAACCGAAAGTCTGGCTGCTTCCCCTGGGAGGGCTCCTGGGTGACCATGGGTCCCTGCCCAGCTCATAGTGCTCTGTAAAAGAGAGGCAGAGATTTTAGCATAATTCAATTCTTTTTTTAAATTGAGGTATAATTGACATACTAACATTATTTTGTTTCAAGTGCACTACGTAATGATTCAATATTTGTACACATTGCATAATTCGGTTCTTTTAAAAACCTCTTCTGTATTCCTGCCCTTTCAATTGCTCCCTCCTCTTAAATATGCAGAAGAATTCCATGTGAGCAAGTGCTTTCTTTTATGGTGCTGTACTTGGATGATTAGCAAAACATGGTGCCAGGGCTGCTGTACCACAGCTGGGGGATGCAGATGTCAGGCTTCCCCACGTGGATTGATTAGGAGCGCTGGTATTCACAGGCACACACGTTCCCCCATGGGCTGGCCCCTCTTGACAACAGATGCAGGAAATTACAGTGAGAATATTCCTTTTGTTTCTACAGCTGTCACCCTGCGGCTGGAAGGGTGCTGATTTAGAATTGAGTGGGCGGGTGAACTTGGTCACTGTTGAGGGAAGACAAACGGCCTAGTGATCCACACCCCAGAGGCTCTTGCCCAGCTCCTGGGACCTAGAAGGGAAGCTTCAGGGGGCTAGGAATGCTGGGCTGTGTCCGTCTGGAAGGCTGGATTCTAGAAACAGCTGCATTGAGGTAGCAGGAAGAGCATGTCCTTGGCTTTTACTGATTCAGAGAAATAGTCATGAAAAAGTTTTTGCATTTATCTACATCCACAATTGATGGTTAATGCCAGTATTCATGGTGTTATTCAGTATTCCTTGCATGAGGCTCAAATAAATAGTAATTTGCTTTTCTAGGAAAAAGTTTTTCTCTTTAATGAGCCTTCTATAGCCAGGATGGGTTGAAAGACAGCTTTACCTAAAACCACTCCATCGAGAGACGGGAACACTTAAAATTAACTTTTCCTTTTGATTTTATTTTTTGTTTCCGCTTGGGTATCCTTTTATGTCATCTCTTTGACATTATGAGGATTAAAAAAATTTAATTTTTCTGATTTTGATTTAATTTTATACCTCTAATAAGTGCTTATTAAATCTATAGTATTTTATGAATGATGGGATTATTTGTACATCCTGCTGGCTTCCCCCTACCCATTTTGTCTTATTTTGGACCACTTAAAAGGATTTTCGAGCCAGTTTGCCTGAAGACCCTTTCTTCAAAAATAATTATATTAAAAAAAATCATATTTTGTAATGAGTCTATGATTTATTTTGTGTTACTCTGTGAAGCAGATACCTTAAAATATGAAATGCAGTGAAATCCATTACAATTTTTATCCACCTGCCTTATTAGTGCTTATTGTCAAGATCTAATTAATTCCTCACTCAACAGAAAGAAACATAGATACTGTGCTAATTCGGTTAATAATTGCATGAAGAATTTACAGGCATGTGAGTGAAAAAGCAACAACAATACAGAGGCAAGAATAACAAAAGAGATTTGATGAACATTACATAAAACCCAAAGATTTATAAGTTGGAAACATAGAACTTTAAGGCTCGGTCAGTTATAAATGAATGCATCATTCATAAAATGCTGCAAACCTGAGAAGTATTTAGTAGAAATATAATATGAAGTCACAAATGGTTTGCAAAATCCTAGAACTGTTGCGTAATCCTCCCCACTCCCCAGTGAATTTGTTGCAAAATCCTAAAAATGCCAACAGGATGTCAGAAAAAGAATAGGACACTTGACGGAGATGCAAAAACACTGCACCGGGAGTTGCCTTCTTTTTTTTTTTTTTTTAACATCTTTATTGGAGTATAATTGCTTTACAGTGGTGTGTTAGTTAGTTTCTGCTTTATAACAAAGTGAATCAGTTATACATATACATATGTTCCCATATCTCTTCCCTCTTGCGTCTCCCTCCCTCCCACCCTCCCTATCCCACCCCTCCAGGTGGTCACAAAGCAGCGAGCTGATCTCCCTGTGCTATGCGGCTGCTTCTCACTAGCTATGTGTTTTACATTTGGTAGTGTATATATGTCCATGCCACTCTCTCACTTTGTCACAGCTCACTCTTCCCCCTCCCCATATCCTCAAGTCCATTCTCTAGTAGGTCTGTGTCTTTATTCCCGTCTTACCCCTAGGTTCTTCATGACCTTTTTTTTTTTCTTAGATTCCATATATATGTGTTAGCATATGGTATTTGTTTTTCTCTTTCTGACTTACTTCACTCTGTATGACAGACTCTAGGTCCATCCACCTCACTACAAATAACTCAATTTCGTTTCTATGACTGAGTAATATTCCATTGTATATATGTGCCACATCTTCTTTATCCATTCATCTGTCAGTAGGCACTTAGGTTGCTTCCATGTCCTGGCTATTGTAAATAGAGCTGCAATGAACATTTTGGTACATGACTCTTTTTGAATTATGGTAAAAGGAATCCAAATCGGAAAAGAAGAAGTAAAGCTGTCACTGTTTGCTGATGACATGATACTATACACAGAGAATCCTAAAGATGCTACCAGAAAACTACTAGAGTTAATCAATGAATTTGGTAAAGTAGCAGGATACAAAATTAATGCACAGAAATCTCTGGCATTCCTATACACTAATGATGAAAAATCTGAAAGTGAAATTAAGAAAACACTCCCATTTACCATTGCAACAAAAAGAATAAAATATCTAGGAATAAACCTACCTAAGGAGACAAAAGACCTGTATGCAGAAAATTATAAGACACTGATGAAAGAAATTAAAGATGATACAAATAGATGGAGAGATATACCATGTTCTTGGATTGGGAGTTGCCTTTTAAGCAAATTTCTCATTAGGCCAATTGCCCCGCAGCTTCAGGGTGTTGGGTTTCAGTAACTACTCCTGCTGGTGTCTCTTTTTTTCTCCTCTCTTCCCTTTTCTTATTTTAATTGTTCTCAGGCGTAAGTATCTTTCTCCATAAATGATTAAAATCTTAGGTGGCTTAGAAATCATAAATTATACATAAAGTTCCATCAACTCATTCGCCCATCTCTCCTCTTGCAGAGAACAGCCCATCTTCACCACCCGAGCCCACGTTTTCCAGATCGACCCCAACACCAAGAAGAACTGGGTGCCTGCGAGCAAGCAGGCTGTCACAGTCTCCTACTTCTACGATGTCACAAGGAACAGCTATCGGATCATCAGTGTGGATGGAGCCAAGGTACCATCTCGCCGGCTCACTTGAAGTCACTTATTTTCATGAAAAGCAATACGATACGTTTGAAAAGTGGAGGGAAAAGGGTGCACCCCAAAACCTGCCACCTTAACAGAGATGTTATTGTTATCATGTCTTTATAATCACAGATCCCGCTTTTTTTCTTTTTTCATTTAAAGTTATGGCCAATTAAAAAAAATTTCCCTGTTAGCACGCTGTCTTCATAACTAGCATTTTAATGCTATTTTAATAATTCCACCAAGAACCTATAATGTCCTTAATCTCTCCCCTTATGGTTAGATACTGAAGTGGCTTCCAATTTTTTTACTATTATAGATAATGAGCATCTTCATGAAACAGATAACCTCATTTGGTCATCATGCCTATTGCCTTTTGGATATTTCCTTAGGATAGATTTATGGAAGTAATGTTATAGGTCAAGATATTAACGCTTTATGGCTCTTGATGGTTATTACCAAATGGCTTTCCGAAGAGTTCTGCCTTCCAGCATGTATGAGAATGCCAGCTTGTTGCACCCCCGGCAGCACTGGGTATTGTAACTAGTCTGGTTTTGGTGTTATTAGGCATGGGAGTTGAATTTTATTAAATGGTTTTGGAGTATTTCTTGAGATAATTTTTTTCCTGGTGTTTTCATTATTCTGCTGTCTTCCTCAATATTTTTGCCACATTATGATGGGAGCAGAATAAAGAAGGATTATCAGTAGATGTATCACCAAGTTTACAAAAGAAAAAAAAAGTAGACTTGATGCTTTATAGTTTCTTTTCTGTCTTTAATCTGTGTTCATCCTGATGGACATTTTTACATGGATAATCTGCTGTCACCTGAAATTCAGTGTATCTGAAGCTGAATTCCCCTATTTGCCCTCTAAACCACCTCTCCATTTTCACTTCCCAGTCACTTGTTGCTGGAAGGAAGGAAGGGAGGGAGGGAGGGAGGGAGGGAGGGAGGGAGGGAGGAAGGAAAGAAAGAAGGAAATGGAAAAGCACAGTCATTCCCTTTTTCGTTGGTAAAATGAATCTGTCTTTGAAGTGTCTCACGTTTATACCTAATGCTTTGTTTCAAGGCCATAACTCTTGTCCTGGTACAGTCTTGCTCAGACTGTTGCAGTAGCCTTCTGATTGGCCTCCTCTCGCCTGCAATCTGCCTCTAGGTCAGCGTTCCTGGGGAGTTGGGTCAGGGCTGGGTAGTAGAATGGGGCCTGGCTGTGGGCTTCTCCCTCCACAACCCCAGAACCACAGAGCAGGAGGCACAGGAAGCCTCCACTGACCAGGGTTCTGATGAGCGCTTAGGAATTGTAGAAGCGCCTGGTGCATAGTAGGTAGGCACCTTGTGTTTGAGGATTGACTATCTGAAAGATGCCTTTATTATTTCTTTTCTTCTGGGAGACATGGTGATATGGCGGTTGTATTACCACTTTCCTTCTCTGTGCTTTTGAGCTGGAATCTTCTCAGCTCTTGCCAGGATGTTCTGCTAGCAGTGGTGAATCAAGCTGACTTGCTTTCTTTTATCTGTAGATTCTGTGAGTTCATCTGCTATCCCTTGAGATGGGTTTGCACTTTTGTCAGTTGAGTTATCCCAGGACACATTTAAATACAGATAAAATGCACTTTTGTAGAGGAAGCGCTTTAGTCCTATTAGCTGGGCTTTGAGTAATTTGTCAGTGTGTCAGCCACTGTGTTGTACGGGTCTGCAGCTCCTGAAGGCTGTGACAGTGGTGGGGTCCGAGCCAAACGAGCCAGCTCTGAGAAATCAGGTGGGTGGAGGAGGGTGGGCTATCCCCCGGCTGAAGAATAGAGCTAGTTCCGGCTCAGTGCGGGGGATCCTTCAAGTTACGGAGTCACTTAAAGAGTGGGAATTGGGAACCCAGGCTGTGAGGTGCCACTGGAATCCAGCAATGGAGCCCGCGGCCCTCTGGCCACGCCTCCTAAGCGCCACACCACCTGGCATTCCAGGAGCCCACCCGGAGTTCCTGCCTTACTAGCGGGGCACAGGCACTGTGATGGGGCCTTGTTCTGCAAAAGGGAGTGTCCTGCCACAGAGCATAAGGCCCAGGGGAGTGGGTAGGGACCAGCCTTAGTTGTTTAGTGCCTGTGCCTGGCACTTGGGGCCGCAGGTGGGTGGCAACTGTCCTGCCCTGAGAACTGGAGCACAGAATACCAGACAGTGGTCCCCAGGCCTCCTCAGCTCAGCTGGACCTTGCCTGGAGCTGCTCAGCAACAATGTGCAAAACCAACAGGCCAGGTCTAGGTCAGATCCTGTGCCTCCAGCTGCTCCGCAGGTCAGGTGAGACATGGAGAAGGACTTCCGGATGGTGATTTCCCCAGAGTAGTGGCAGCTCTTGACACTGCCCGGTCTTCTGCACCTTCCTCCTCCCCACCCATGGCTGAGTTCCTGATCCCCGCAGCCCCAGCTTCTGCCCTGCCCCAATAGTCCAGATGGGTCTCCTTCCTCCCTAGGGGCTGGAGTAGGGCGCAGTCTGCTGACCTGATGCCAGTGCCGCGCTGTCCCAGGGCTCTTGTCCGCTGCCCCTCTGCATCCCACCCCTGCCCCTGGATCCTCATCCTTGCGTTCCACCACGTTGGGACAACCCCGCTTTGTTTTAGGCCTTTGATTCCAAATGTTAAAGGAACTAAGATGACAGATGGTCAGATGCTTTTAGCCTTTGGGGTGCTGTCTTGGCTACACCTCTGACCTTGGGCTGTTCTAGGGCCCCCGGTCCTGCCTCTCTCTCCTGGCCTGGCCATGTCACGTCTTCTGCTTGGTGCTTCTGGGCCAGCTGTCCCTCCCAAGGCGGGAGGCTGCTGCGGTCTGGAAGGGGAAGCCTGCTCTGCCCCTCCCAAATGAAGGAGTAGATGTGCTTCAGGAACAGGTTGCTGGTGTGGAAGGGACTTGGAGGTGGTTGTGAGCAAAGACCACGGTGGACTCAGCCGCTGAGTCAACTGCGGGCAGCCCACAGAGCATGGGCCCCCGTGAAGGGAGGAGGTGCAGCCAGCAGCTTTAGCAGCTGTCGTTCCACACCAGGCATAGCAAGCTCCTCTTCCCGTCCGAGCGTTGGTCGTGCTCTACTTGGGGAAGGATGCGGGGAAGCCCTCTCCTTCCCCTGAGACCCTTTGGTGCTGCTCATCGTAGGAAAAATCTGTGTGCAGACGTTTTCTTCCTTCTTCCAAGGAAAGTATTTCATGTGTCAGTCGCAGCTGCTGCTCAAGACATACGTGGGTGGGAATACTGTGGTGCGTAGCTCCAGCATTGCCTGGGGGTTCTGTGGATCCATGTCTGTGGGGGGGGCGGGGCTACCAGGAGACTGTGCTCTTTGAGGAACGGGCCTGGCCCATCTTTGGAGTCTCAGCATCAAGCTAGAGTGGGCCACGCCATAGACATGGGTGGGTGACGAGGTCAGGCCTGGCCACATCCTCTCCAGGCCTGCAGGAGGTGTGCCGTGTCCGCAGCGGGACAGTGGGCAAGAGTAGGATCACCGCCAAGAGGGAACCAGGACCAAAAACTCAGAATGTCACCCAGGGTCAGCCCTGTGCATGGACAGATGGGAGCCACATGAGGGCACATCCCGTCTCCCAGCTTCCCAGAGCGCTGATGTGAGCCATCACATCACCGACAGCCGCAACCAACAGCCGTGTGACTGATGGTGAGTTTTTGTGCGGAACAGCCAACTCCATTTCCAGAGCATTTGTGAATTGAGCCGTCGCAGCACTTGATTTCATTGTGCTGTTGGCACTCTTTACAGACTGAGTTAATCATTGCCATCCTTATGAGGAATTGCCTGCCCCTGTGGACAAGACCTGCCTGGAGCAGGTGTTTCTCCCGGGTGCTCTGGATGCCTCCCCTGCCCTGGGTTCTCAGTTATTTATAGGATCACAGAAGCCTATATTGGAAGAGACCCTAGAGGTCATCCATTCTACAGATATTTAGCAGCACCCGCCGTGTTCTGCCTAATCACAATGGTTTGGAGGATATAAGCCTCCGAAACTCAGACTTGTTTGGTGTTTTGTCTGGGAATGTGAAATTGCTTTCAAGAACACAGTCAGGGTCCCCTCCTCCACCCATCAGTATAGTTTCCTCTTTTTTTTTTTTTGGTCATTGTTTGGTTTTTGTTTTTTGGTGTGGACTTTTTTTTTTAAACATCTTAATTGGAGTATAATTGCTTTACAATGGTGTGTTAGTTTCTGCTGTATAACAAAGTGAATCAGCTATACATATACATATATCCGCATATATCCTCCCTCTTGCGTCTCCCTCCCACCCTCCCTATCCCACCCCTCTAGGTGGTCACAAAGCACTGAGCTGGTCTCCCTGTGCTATGTGGCTGCTTCCCACTAGCTATCTATTTTACATTTGTTTGGTGGTGTGTAAATGTCATGCCACTCTCTCACTTCATTGATGTGGACCATTTTTAAAGTCTTTATTGAATTTGTTACAATATCGCTTCTGTTTTATGTTTTGGTTTCTTGGCCATGAGGCATGTGGGATCTTATCTCCCCAACCAGGGATAAAACCCACACCCCCTGCATCGGAAGGCGAAGTCCTAACCACTGGACCTCCAACGAAGTCCTTAGTTTCCCCTTTTGCATAAATACAGAGCACCTTCTGTTAAGGGAGCAGCCGTATGGAAGGTTCTCAGCACACAGTAGGATTTTCAATGAATGTTGGTTTCTCTTCTTCCCTGACTATGGTTTTAAAAAAAAAAGAATAAAAGCATCTATTAATACCTTTTCTGGAAGCAGGCAACAAGTCTTTTAATTGCTGTAACTCGTCCCCAGCCTCTTCTGCGTTCTGACTTCCATCTCCGTGGATTTGGGGACTTGCCCTGAATAGGAACCAGGGGGCCTGCCTCCAGCTTCCTCTGAAGCCGGAGCTGCACTAGGGACTGGAGGAGCTTAGCTTTTTGCTTCTTCCAGGTACCTCTTGGTTGCATGTGCTCTGTGCATTGTCTGAGAAGCGGGTTCCAGTGATCTGCAGGAACTGAGTCTTTTACTGGGGAGTCTCTTTTTTTTTTCCTCCATGAACGTTTCAGAGAGAATTCACAAAAAAGAGGAAGGGGGTGGGCATAGGGGTCGGGAGCCCATATTAAAGGTTGTGCTTTAAAGCAGCCCCTTCATCCTTCTGAGCTTCACTTTCTAAGGGTGCTCCCCTGCCCCCCCGGCCCCCCCACCCCGGCCTTCCCAAGTCCCCAGGCAGGCACCAGTTCTGGTCCTGCTGAGTCCGTCTGCTTCATCGAACACCCATGCGTGCCCTTTCTCTCCACACCCAAGGCCTCATTCTTCCTTGTTCCCTCCTGACTGTCCCTTCTGCATGCCTTCACTCCTCAGGCCCTGCCTTGGTGCTTCTAAAGTCATTTTCTACCCAGGCCTCTTCCCTTGAAACTCTGTCCCCTCTTGCTGGGTGACATCCTCCACTCCTGTGACCCCAGAGTCTGCTGAGCCTCCCCCCGCTTACCTGAGGCCAGAACCCACAGGTCCAGCCACTTCCTCTGACCCCAACACGGTTTTCCAGTGTCCCCATGCACAGGGCACCGCCTTCCCTTTTCACAAGCTTCTGCTCACACGGGGGATTCGTCTCCCTGACAGCTTTGTTACAGCTTTGCATGTGCTTTATTTTTAACTGTTTATCTGTGCCATTTAATGTCTGATAACAAAGCAAATGCTCATGTACCCAACACCCAACTGAGGAAGTCTGTCCTTTACTAGTCCTTCAGAAGTCCCTTTCTGGACCTCTCCCTAATAGAGGCACCTACCGTCCACCCTGCAAGAGGTTACCACTTTCTTGAAATTCGTGTTAAACATTCCCTTGCCTATCTTTATACTTTTGCCACCTGTGTATATATCCCTAAGCCAGAAGTTGGCAAACTTTTTCTCTAAAGGGCCTGATAGTAATTTTCTTATGAGCTGTACAAGCTCTTTCACAGCTCTTCAACTTTTCTTTTGTATCAATAGCAAGGAAATGGCCAGAGGCCAATATGTACCTGAATGGGTGAAGCTGTGTACCAATAAAGCTTTATTTACAAAAACAGGCAGGATTTGGCCTGAGGGCTATAATTGTTGACCCTTGCCCTAAATATATTATTTAGTTATGCCTGTTTTTGATTTTTACATAAATAGAATCATACGGAGACCTATACTGTATGTCTTCTTTTGTGACTTTTTTTTAACTTAAGTTTTTGTCGTCATCCGTGCTGATACCTATAGCTTTGGTTAATTTTCACTGCTAGGTAGTATTTCGTTGTATGAATATACCATAATTTATCCATTCTGCTGGTGGTGGACATTTATGTTTGCAAACACTGCTACTGTGAACATCCTTGTGCATTTCTCCTTGTGTACCTATGCAAAGGTTTCTCTCAGATATATACTTAGGAGTGGAATTGCTGGGTGGTAGGGAATGTGCATTTTAAACTTTATCAGAGAAAGCCACATTAGTTTTCAAAGTGATTTTGCCAATATGTGAGAGCACCCATTGCCCCACATCCTCACCCCCACCCTTGGTATCATCAGACATATTTTGAATTTGGTGAGTATATAGTAGTAATGGTAATGCAGTTTCCACATTCCTAGTGACATTGAGCTTGTAGCTTATGTCCGTCAAACTCAACCTACCTCATTCTCTCCAGTCTCACAAGAGAGGGGTCCATTCACCTGCCCAGAACTAAGCCTCCCTCAGGTCCCATCTCCTCACCCCCACCCCCAGAATATCCCTCCCATTCACATAACTGCACTGGGCACTCAACCATAGCAGACCCAGAGTAGACAAAAGGTCATATGTGTCCACTTCCTTTCACTTCTTCTTGCACGCTTGAGGAGGGTGAAAGTCAGAAATGAGTCAGAGCCTCAAAGAGAAACAGGCAATAAGGTGGATTCCAGGTGCAAGCGCAGTTAGCCAGAAATGATTTGGGAACCCAAGAGGAACACGCACAGAAGGAATGTGTCCTTAGAAGCTTCGATCTGCCCAGCTTCTCAGGAGGACTTGGTGTTGGTGGGCTGAGCCAAGCGTAGCACAGGACAGAGTTTCCATGTTAGTGGGAAGTGAAAGAAGAGGGTCCTGGGATTGACCACTTTTTAATGGCTTGATTGCCCCAGCTGTCCGTCGTGCTGCTTTTTTTTTTTTGCGGTACGCGGGCCTCTCACTGTTGTGGCCTCTCCCGTTGCGGAGCACAGGCTCCGGATGCGCAGGCTCAGCGGCCATGGCTCACGGGCCCAGCCGCTCCGCGGCATGTGGGATCCTCCCGGACCAGGGCACGAACCCGTGTCCCCTGCATCGGCAGGTGGACTCTCAACCACTGCGCCACCAGGGAAGCCCTGCCCCCATTTCTTGATAGTGTCCAGTGACAGCAGGCAGAGCTCTTTACTAACTGTTGCATTCAGTTATCTGAAAAACATGTGATAAAAGTGTCTTAGCTCACACAGTCTTGAGAATTAGAGGAACTAGCACAGGAAGGAAAAGCAACCTGGAGTGCGGTGAAGGCATCAGTACTTCATAGCTGGGGCAAGAACAGGAGAAGCACGTCATACAGAAGTTCAGAATACAGGACTTTGAGTCAGACAATCTGGGTTTTACCTCTAGGCTTTGCTACTTGCCGACTCAGTTTCTCCTGTGAAATGAAGGTGGTAGTCATACCTCATAGGCTTGTTGTAAGACTTAAGAGCTGATATAAGTAGTTTTTTAGTCTTCAGTAATTTAGTATTTAGTATTCAGGCTGACAAGGATTTCTACCGAGTGAGCTTGTTATTGATACTTTATAACACTGATCAATTGTTTAGTGATTACTTACGTGTCTCTACCCTCTTCGTGACTACCTGCAACTTGAAGACCAGGAATCTTGACTCCTTCCTCTTTGTGTCTTTGGTTAGCAGAATACCAGGTATATGGTGAATGTTTGTTGAATGAATGAATGTACTGTGTGCTGGATATCATCCTTTTACCTCCACATTCATCCTCTACTCTTCTTCACCCTGCTCTGGTCCCTGAGGGGCTGACCCGCAGATGACATCAGTGGGCTTGTGGGGCCTCTGGCTTCTGGTTGGGTTTGGCCAGTGGCGGGAAGTCAGAACGGCAGAGGCGAGGGCATTTGTCCCACTGGCTCCCCCTCTTGTGAGGTTACCATGTGCTGGTGTGTCCCTCAACAGAAGGTCTCCTCTCTCGTTAAGGGAGCCTGTGCTCCATGACTCTCTCCTTCCACATCCCATAGCCTCTTCACCCCCTCATCCTTTAAAGCCAAGGAGAGGTGGCAGCAGCTAGCACCAGGTCCCTGCACTGTCCATACACCCAGCTCACACCTGTCTAATTAGTCTGTAAATTAACCCTCCACAAATTATCCCAATTAGAGTGTACCTTTTCTTTCCCGTGGGGAAGCAGCAAGCCCCCATTGCTCATGGAAATTTTAAATGGTTTGAGCTGGACCCCGGGGGCTCCAGGCACTTAAAAAGGTAGGCAGCGTGGTTCTTCAGAGGATGTGTGACATGGCTGGCCATTAAGGGCGATCGGATGTGCGACAGCTTTGGGGAAATAAGTAGCAGTTTTGGAAACTCTTCTCTACCTAGGAGAGACTTTCTCCCACTGATAACCTGTGAGATCTTATTTTAGGCTGACTGTCTGTTTTTAAGTCTCTGCAATTGCCTGTTATCATGGTTGTGTGTATATGACTCAGCGTGGGATGTGCCAGGAGAGGAAGAACTCAGGACCAGATATAACAGTGGGGATGCAGGCTTTACCTACTAGCTTTGCCAACAGAGGAGTTTTTAAGGAGTTACTTTGGTGTCTAATTCAGTGTTTAAATGTCGACTCTTTGGGCTGTTTCGCTGCAGGTGATCATAAACAGCACAATCACACCCAATATGACTTTCACCAAAACATCGCAGAAATTTGGGCAGTGGGCCGACAGCAGAGCCAACACGGTGTTTGGTTTGGGGTTTTCCTCGGAGCAGCAGCTGACAAAGGTAATGTGGTCCTTCCCGCAGCGCCATGGGTGCCGCGTCCAATGCTCTTCTCATTCAGTAGGTAATTGTTTGCTGAGGGATCCGGTGCTGCTACTACTGGTTGAGCAGATTCCCCTCTGGCCTTCAGTTTTCTCCCCTCTGGCGCTGCAGGGCTGCCAAACCAGATGACCTTTTAGAAACATCAGTTTCCTTGAAAATGGAGATGTTGTTTAGAGAAGGAAAACATCTCTAACAATGCTGCTTCACAGCCTGAGGTGTAGCCCCAGGACGCAGCCTTGCCAGTCTTCCTTCCCCAGGTGTCCGCCTGGCTCCTGCACCCAGGGTGTGTCTGACAGCCATCAGTGTCACTGACTCTGGTTGGAGCCCTCAGAGAGGGGGAGTAAGGTGACTCATGCTCAGTAAGAGTTTTAAAAGGTTTCTGCTCCCAATTTCCAACATGCATGTGGGTGGGGGGGAGGGGTACCCCGAAGCACCAAGCACTTCTCAGACCCCAGATGGGTGTCCTGCGATGCAACTCGATTCTGACACTGCCTACCTGGAGGAATCATCCAATCCCACAGGTGAAGGGCTCAGTCCTGCAAGATCCCCCCAACTTCAGACTTCAGTTGTAAGCCCAGGGTGTCACCTGTGCTTCTGAATAACCAGCTATAGATCAGAGGTTCCAGTGACCCCCTCCTAAGGTTCAATTAATTTGCTAGAGCTGCTTATAGAAAGAGAAACATTTTACTTACTAGGTTACCAGTTTATTATAAAGGGGTATAACTCAGGAACAGCTGGATGGAAGAGACATAGGGCAAGGTATGGGGAAAGGACGGAGCTTCCACGCCCCTGCTGAAGTCTGCCACTCTCCCCAAATCTCTACATGTTCACCCACCCGGAAGCTCTCCAAACCCATCCTTTTAGGGTTTTATGGAGGCTTTATTAATTAGGCATGATTGATTCCATCACTGACCACTGGTAATTGATTCAGCCTCCAGCCCTCTCCCCTCCCCAGAGGGACTGAAAGTTTCACCCCTCTATTCATGATTGGTTCCCCTGGAAACCAGCCCCCCATCCTTAGGTCCTTTGCAAAAGTCACCTCATTGACATAAACCCAGTTTTGACAGAAAGGGGCTTGTTATGAATAATAAGATACCCATTTCACCTTTATGGCTCTGAACTCAGAACTGAGGACAAGAGACCAAATATTGTGACAAAAGATGCTCGCATTGCTCTTAGCGCTCAGGAGCTGTGAGCCAGGAACCGTGGAGGAAGACAAGATATATATTCTTATATGTCATAGGATCATAAGTTCTTAACTTGGAGTCCCCACAACCCTTAAAATGTCACACAGTGTTTTGTGTGTGTGTTGCTTTTTTTCTAGGGAGAGCGTTTATAGCTTTGCTTTGCTTTCCAAGAGGTCTGGGACACGCTCTGTGGATAGTTAAAAAGGTGTTAAGGAGCAGAGCATGACTGACCACAGACTTGGAGAAGCCCAAGGACCGAGGAAACAAACTGACCACCTCTGAGAGGCCTCACCTGGCCGATTGAAGGGGCCAGAAGCTTGTTTTAGGAGAATAGGCTTCCTTTTAGGATGGGGGAGAGTCCTGTGTAGGTATTGAAAATGTACTGGTTAAAAGCAAGACTGACTAGGGACTTGCCTGGCGGTCCAGTGGTTAGGATTCCGTGCTTCCACTGCAGGGGACCCGAGTTCAATCCCTGGTCGGGGAACTAAGATCCCTCGTGTCCCGACGCAGCCAGAAAAACAAAACAAAAACAAAAAGCAAGACTGCCTAGTTTATGTGACACAAGAACTTCCTGGAAGACTATCAGAGTGTCTCAAGGAATCCAAGAGAGAGTTGAAAATCCAGGAAGGGCTGGAGCCAGGCTGGCTTTGGGAATCTTGGCTAAAGGAGTTCTAGGCCATTGCCTTGACCGTCCCACTGACTGCTGGGCAGGTGTTTATTGAGCTCCTGCTGTGCCGACACCGTGCTGGGCACCAAGGATGCAGAGCTGTGGTCCCGTCCCCAGAGGGCCTTACAGAATTCCAGACGCCTGGGGAATTGACAGAGCGGCTTAGTACAGACTTGGTTGCTTGGGTTCCCTGTGTACACTAAGGACTATTTTCACAGGGGGTTTAAGATGAATCAGGCAGCCACCCTGGCAGGAACTTGCTAAATGCACCTTTCATTTGTCCAGTGTGTGTGCATGTGTGTTTGTACACCACATACACACACATGCACATTTCTAAGGAGGCCTCCAGCCCACAGACCCAGCCACAAACAAGCCCCCTAAGGAAGGGTACCCCACAGTCTGTTGTGGGGTATGCTGTTCGCTAGAAGCCCAAGAAACCCAAAATGGCCTGGTGGCACGCCGCACATCCTCTTATGCCACCCACTCCTAGAAGCATCCTTTCCTGGGTACTAAAATCTCCCGATCGCCAGGGCTCAGCGACATGGGGCAGGAAGCAGAAATCTTAAGGGTAGCTCGCGGGGTATAAACATGGGAGATGTCATCTCCATCCCTGATCCCTCAGTCCCTGGACTGCGGCTCTGAGGAGAAGCATCACGCCCCACAACTCTGCAAGATGGGGTGTTCTGGCGGGCAGCACAGCGGAGTTCTGGAAGGCCTGCTGCTTCTGCTGATAAGGTTTGTGGGAGGATCCAGAATCCTGTGGCGAGTAGACCTTGCTTCATTTCATTTGCAGAGAAGTTGGTTGGTTGGTTGGTGTAAGGTCGGATCTTAACAAACGGCACCACGAAACAGAGGAAAGCTTCAAGTGAGCTTTATGAGGGAGCGCTCCCGGGCGAGGTTCACTGGTCCGAGAGAAAGGGGCCAGAGAACCCGGGCGACGGTTGGGCAAGATTTTATAGGGGAAGAAGGGAAAGGGGTGTGGTGAATCTGGAAGGGCACAGAGTATTCCTTATTTGGTGGTCTTTTCGGGTATCCTGGGGGACCGTTAGTCCCGCCCCTCGAAAGGCGGGAAGGCTGGGCTGGGTTCAAAGTCCCCAGGTCAGTTACTGGAACTGGGTGGTCCGGAGTGTCTCCAGGGCAGTTTCTGGAACTGCGTGGTCCGGAGAATTTCGGTCTGATGCAACCTGTGAATCTGATTGTGTTCCCCTGCCTCGGGCCAGTTGGCCTTACAGTTGGAGGTGGTGCTGTGTGGTACAGAAGGCATTAAGTAAGTTTGTGGGTCGGGGGGCGGGAGGCATGACAGTTCGTAGTATACGTCTGTCCTGGTGAGGGTAAATTACTGTGTGCTCTGGAGGAAGGGCCCAGCGTAATCAGCTTTCCACCAGGGAGCTGGCTGGCCGCTTAGAAGTGTGATGCAGAATCAGGGCCTCAGGGTGGGTCACTGCTGTTGGCAGTTGATACTCAACGGGGCCAGAGGTCAGGGTGGCCATGACAGGAGTAGGTATTGTCAAGGCCACGCCACATTCTCTCCCCGGCACCAAGGCCAGTGTGTCCGTAAGCCTTTTGAGCAAGGGCCAGGCTGCCTGGGGAAGAGAAGGACTGGGTACCCATAGAGCAGCCTTCCTGCCCCTAGTTCTAAGGTTTCTTTTTGCTGGAGGGTGGAGGCTTCAGAAGAGCATTGTCTTGGTCTGTTCAGGCTATTATAACAAAATACCATAGACTGGGTATTTAAACAACAGCCTCTCACAGTTCTTTTTTTTTTTTTATAATTAATTTTTATTGGAGTATAGTTGCCTTACAATGTTGTGTTAGTTTCTACTGTACAGCAAAGTGAATCAGCTATACATATACATATATCCCCTCTTTTTTGGATTTCCTTCCCATTTAGGTCACCACAGAGCACTGAGTAGAGTTCCCTGTGCTATACAGTAGGTCCTCACTAGTTATCTATTTTATACATAGTATCAATAGTGTATATATGTCAATCCCAGTCTCTCAGTTCCTCCCACCCCCGCTTTCCACCTCGGTATCCTTACATTTGTTCTCTACGTCTGTGCCTCGGTTTCTGCTTTGCATAAAAATGGTATAATATCATCTATACCATTTTTCCAGATTCCACATATATGCGTTAATATATGATATTTGTCTTTCTCTTTCTTACTTCACTCTGTATGACAGTCTCTAGGTCCATCCACGTCTCTACAAATGACCCAATTTCATTCCTTTTCATGGCTGAGTAATGTTGCATTGTATATATGCACCTGCACCACATCTTCTTTATCCATTCCTCTATTGATGGACATTTAGGTCGCTTCCATGTCCTGGCTATTGTAAATAGTGCTGCAATGAACATTAGGGTGCATGTGTCTTTTTGAATTATGGTTTTCTCAGGGTATATGCCCAGTAGTGGATTGCTGGGTCATATGGTAGTTCTATTTTTAGTTTTTTAAGGAACCTCCATACTGTTCTCCATAGTGGCTGTATCAATTTACATTCCTACCAACAGTGCAGGAGGGTTCCCTTTTCTCCATACCCTCTCCAGCATTTATTGTTTGTCGATTTTTTGATGATGGCCATTGTGACCGGTGTGAGGTGATACGTCACTGTAGTATTGATTTTCATTTCTCTGATAATTAGTGATGTTGAGCATCTTTTCATGTGCCTCTTGGCCATCAGTATGTCTTCTTTGTGGAGAAATGTCTATTTACATCTTCTGCCCATTTTTTTTTTTTTGATATTGAGCTGCATGAGCTGTTTGTATATTTTGGAGATTAATCCTTTGTCAGTTGCTTCGTTTGCAAATATTTTCTCCCATTCTCAGGGTTGTCTTTTTGTCTTGTTTATGGATTCCTTTGCTGTGGACAGCCTCTCATAGTGCTGGAGGCTGGAGTCTGAGATCAGGGAGCTAGCACGGTCAAGTCAGGTGAAGGCGCTCTTCCAAGTTGCAGACTGTCAGCTTTTCATTGTATTTTCACATGTTGAAAAGAGGGCAAGAATGCTCTCTGCGGTCTCTTTTTTTTTTTTTTTTTTTTACGCGGGCCTCTCACTGTTGTGGCCTCTCCCGTTGCGGAGCACAGGCTCCAGACGCGCAGGCTCAGCGGCCATGG